TGAGCATCTTTCTTTACTACATAGTATAACAAAGTCGTCCCGCTGTCTGTCTGTCCCTATGTATACTTAAACCTTTAAAACTACGCAACAGATCTTGATGCGGTTTTTTTACTAGATAGAATGATTCAAGAGGAAGATTTATATTTATAATACATTAAACCCGTGTGAAGCTGGGGCGGGTCGCTAGTTCATTATATCTTATTAAATTGAAAATTACTTTCAGTAGAAGTTTTTTTTTAAACTTGTAACTAACATGATTGGTACCGGTCAACTCTGCATTTCTGTAACACTATAGCCTAATGGTGTCACTGCGGTTCGACCTTGGTGCGTTGATCGATAGCTACCACCCGCTTTTAGCACTAACATATCTTCAACCACATTTACTTAAAGCTGCTTTCGTATCTCCAATGTCATCAGGCAAAAGTTGTGATTCATTACTTTTAATAGAAGATGTCAGGAGCAGTTAATGATGATCACCGCCACTCCTCCTTGGCAGTATGTTATGACAGAGTACCACTGCGTACGGCTGTTACAACTGTGTGTAATAATCATACAATGCACATTTATTTTATAGCGGTGATAATTAACATGTACTAGCTGCTACCCGCGACTACGTCTGCGTAGAATAGGCTGAAAGCGTAACATTCAGACAGAAAGACAGATATACATAACATATTAAATAAAGTATAGCCTATGTCTTATTCTGATATTACTGTAAAGTTTCATTGAAATTCATTCAGTAGTATTTGCGTGAAAGAGTAACAAACATCCATCCATACATAAAAAAACTTTCGCCTTTATAATATTAGTAAGGATGAAATGAAACAGCGTAATATTCCAAGAAGGCTTTAACTGTGGTTGGGCCATGAAACAGCTTCGGCTGTTGCACGAATAGCATGCGCATCCGAGGAAGTACCACGAATTCCCAGAAAGCTAGCGTGAAGTGAAAGCGCCATACTGCGTTTCGTCTGATGAGTGAGGTAGCCAGGGCCCACTTTATTAAAAGGTGCAGCCCTAACGTGAGTTGCAAATGTCCGAGGGCGGCGGTTATCACTTAACATCAAGTTAACCTCGAGCTAACCGCCAGCTCGCTTGCGTTACATAAAAAAGTTTTTATAGAAAGGTATTTTATGTAAAAAGTTGTCGAGCAGGTAGTTCACCTGATGTTAATACCACTGTCCATGGACATCTACTACATACCATGGCTTGCAGTTGCGTTTACAGCCTTTAAGAAAGTGGGAGAGTTAGTTCACTCCACCTTTTAGCAAAGTAGGCTCCTCACTTAACAGACAAAACGCGAAAGTCTAATACTTCAACTTCACACCGGCCTTCTCTCAGGTCATGGCCACGCCTGCTCATTCGTAACTATATATAATTTCCCTTTTCGAAGATTACATTGGAAAATGTTGGCAGCACATCGTCTATAGAACCAGAGATTGTCATTCAAACTTATCATTACACAGCATCAGCCGTTCCTTGAATGTGTCTGGCGCATGGAAGGCGTAAAATGGAAAAGCCTAATATTCTGTACATCTGATGGTAAATCAAGACGTAACATGGACCAGGATTTAATATTTAAATAGTTAACAACCCATTTGATTTCATGATGTCTTAACAGATACGACGCTATCCGCTTTACGGCTATGAGAAGTCCTCAATTCACACTGCTCTGATTAAAATCCAAAGTATTAAGGCGTCATCCCTAAATAAATACGAAACATTATTAAGTTTTTATGGCTTGCTAGATATCTCTCGAGATGTAGGTGTTTTAATTCTGCTTGATACCCAAATTATTTTATAACCACTTATATAAGACCAAAAACAAATGGTTGGTTAAACTATTTTTTTTAATATTTGACGAATATCCATTTTTGAAAAAAAAAAAACCACACGATATTTTAATTTCACTCTTAACCAACTGTGTAGGCTAATTTGTATGCAAAACACTTGTGAATCATCACATTTTCAACACCCATCAGAATTGGCATTTGCTTTATAATTTTTTACTCACAAAATTATTTGCGTAATCTGATATAATAGTAAATGCAATAATTTGATTAATATATTCACTGAAGTAATGTTGGTACCCATATTTCTATAACCAGGCGTCTTCAATATTTCTAAAAGTACCATTAACTATTTTCGCTATTAATTAAATTCAAATGGGAGTTCTATGGTTCTCAATTAAAGACTCACGAGTTCAAGGTTAGCGTCCAGTTCCCTTGAACTTCCGATAGATGGCGCAATACGTAGCTTTATTTATAAATAGCGGCCTTAACATCATTAGGTTTTCTCTACCAGTCAGCCGACAAATAAACAGAGGTTTAATTTATGTATAAAAGAATGGGACGATAAAATTATATTTGAATTAAATGCAAAGAACTAGACCATAGCTTAGCATAACACAATAACGGGGTTCGTCCATGAACTTGTGTTTTGTTCGCCGTATTTCGTTATTAGGAATTGTCGACGCGACGGGAAACGCTAGATTGCTCGCGGCCGTTATTCAAAAGGTGATGCTTGTTAAGGTACCAAGATTGGCCAAAGATTGTCAATTGACTTTTTATCAACGGACATACATAAGTAGATGTATGTTTATTTTACTATCTGAGAGGTATCGAGATAAAAACAGAATTTCCCTGTACAAATACATTCTGTGTGAAAATATTGTATATAATATATTAATATTAACTGTGTTCGTTATAACTTAGGCTGTCTTCGTAGTTGTTTTTTTCATTAGTTATCATTCTTTAGAAATTTAGGGATAAATTTGAAACGGTATGATTCAATTCTGAAACAGAATAAATTAGTTAAATGCTATTCTTTAAAGTTAAAAGAGTAATATGTTTGACTTTGAACAATATCGGGAAATTAAAAATCTACGTTTTTTTCCGTCACTTTATATTAAGTGATTACTTGCCTTTGTAGATAAATTTACAAACAAAGAAAGTGAGCTCCGATTATCTTGTACAGCAAACGAAACGCGAAGTTACTAATTGTCTTTACTTCAAGTACCTTCACGTCACGTAGATCTTCTATGAGGCCGTGGTACTCAATTGTTGAGGTACATTTGGCAAAGAGCTTATTAACTCCTGGAAATTAATAAGTCTAATGAAATACAAAGCTGGCATGATTGTTTGCTTATCTATACAATGGTTACTTTAAAAGGTCTTTTTGTAACAACCTATGTCAGTATAGGAGATAGGAACAGAACTCGAATTTCTTCTTCTACTTGCCTGTTGGCAATTGATTAACAATCAAGATCCAAAGAAATAATTTTCCCAAAGATGGTTATGTTATACTGATTGATTATAGAGTTTTCATACATCATCACGTTTATGATTATGACGTAGCAAATTCATCGTCATCATCACTATTTCAGCCCGTTTTAGTACACTATAGGTACCCACACAGACTGACACCAAACACGATTTTGAGCCTATTCCTTCTTCCTGTTAACACTGTGGTAGTGCCACAACAACTTCGGCCGCAACAGCTATTACACGAATGGGCAGGTACGTCCGGGTAAGTAAAACGACCTCACAGAAAACCGGCGTGAAATGGTAGTATTATATGAGTGAGGTACCCGGAGCCGAATTTACTGATAGGTGACAGCTCATCTGGAATCCTACGGGCGTTGGAAATGGTTATGGCTAGGTATGGTTATCACTTAGGTTCAAGAGAACCGCCAGCGAATTAATCTATGAAATACACTGAAACGAATATACTGAAACGAAGCAAAATTATACATTTATATTTTTTATTAAACAATATTTAGAACAGTGTAATTTTGAAAATTTTAAATTTTTAAAGTGCTAATCTCTGCACTTAAGTATCAACATTAAAATTTGTAGAAAAAGTACGAAAAGATTGTCGCCGCTGTGGGAATCGAACCCACGTCTTCGGCATTCGCGGCCTTATGAGTGTAACTTTGCATTAAAAAGTTTATAGTCGTGAAATTCCAAGTAACACAACAGCAGTGAATAGGGGATTGAAATATATTTTAAAGATATTAAAGTATAATATGACCTTTTTCCCTGATAATAATACTATTATACTATTACAGTCCGAAAAACAATGCCATCCTCTTCTCTAGATTAATAGTTATTTCAAAAATTCATTCGAATTAAATTGTGCCCGTCAATCCGCCTACGTTGTTGATCTTTGGCCCAAGAATAGTGACTGCTGGACAATACACTAACGCCGCTCTACTCGTAATAAGGATATGCCGTCGGTCTACGGTCGCTGTTATTAACTAGCAATTACGGTGACGGCTAATTGGTGTGTCTGCGTAATACTCCGAGCTAATAGCGAGGGAAGTGGGGAGAGGGGTAGGTTGTAAATTATGATTTCATTCTATACAATTTTTGTAATTTGTCAATAAGCTATCTCCCATTTTTCCTTATTTAATGACAGTCACTTTTCAACCTTGATAAAGAATGTGTGATCGCTGTCGTTCAATACTTGATTTATTTTTATCATCAACCTTATTTATTTACCCTAACATTACAACAGAGACAGGCAATTAGCATACATAAGTTGCCCAGGTATAAAACCGTAGAACAGGTACATTATCCATATATAAGTCGGAAAAAATTCTAGCGCGGTAAAGGTTTTTTACATTACGACGGTATTACGACGCTGCTCTGAATTCAGTCGCGTAGCCATATCACATTTAAAAACAGATTTAATTATGTTAATTGGCTTGATAAAAAATTATCAATGCTTAGCTTTTAAAACAACATACTCGTTTAAAGATATGTAAAGCGATGAAAACTCTATTTTATTAAATCACATTTGGAGAGAATGAAAATAAATATAGGGCTAACCTTCACAGCGAAGTTTTATCCTATAAAGCTTTAGTAATCGCATTACAATATTCTCACACTACGCCGCCTGCATGTGTGCGTACAGCTTATTAAATTAACTGCTGCCAGTTATTTGTTGGGGCTGGAAGAAACCTTTTACGTCTTTACAACGAAGTAGTCTACAGCTCCGTAATGGTGGAAGGTGAGAATTGCCTCTGTTTTGTGACCTTTTATTGTTATTATTTAAAAATTGGTGCTACGAAAGTGCTGAGTGTGACTAACGAACTGATTTCTTCACAATTAATGTGATTGTTAACCAGAAATAATTTAGTAAAACATTTAGATTTAAAATTAAATTGAGCCTTGAAATAGAATTTTATAGTTTCTATAGCAAATCGTAACATCGTTTATAGTAAACATTTATTTAGAAAATGAAATAATGTCAAACTGCAAAAATACGAAACTATGATTTAGTGCAGACTCATGTTTAATAATTGTAGAGCTATTTTTTATTTAGCAAATTATTTATTTTTAATCTGTGTTTGTTTTCGCTCGCTAAAGAAGCGAGGGATATAAAGTTAGAAATAATTAAATATTAACTCTTTAGTACTGCTGCGATTTAAGGCTTAGAAAATACCTTAAAGCGAGATTAAATAAGGCTTAATGAATATATAAAACACACCAAATAGTCGTATCCATTTTTCCATGTAAAAGGTGTTAAAAAGTAACAAACTCACTTATTCTCATTTCCATATGTGCGTATTGCAAATTGAAGCAATTGTATTCTTTTTAGTTACTCTTTTTTATTGAAGTGCCGAAGTTGAGCTGCGTTTGCAAGAGTATGTCGTTAGAGGGCGTTGAAACGTTGACTAAATTTCCGTCAGTGTATGGTAAAATGTATATAATTAAATGCTTAGATATATACAGTTCCTTTCAAATTTGTGTGATTGGATTGGCGGCCTTTTAAGTCAAAAATTCATTTGTATTCTTACCCTATAATTCTTACAATTTTACACCTTCCAATTATATTTTACTACAAACTAGGTAGCACTTAAAATTATCACACTTACATCGTAATTAGTAAGATAATTTCACCTAAGATTGTGCTATAAGTGTCCTCAATATTTCCCTGTGTAATATAATATTTCCCATTGTGCTAATAATAAAGCAACTAGAGAAAACAATCCAAGAAAAATAAAGTCAGTGCCTGAGGCGTCTCGTTTGAACGACAGATTTTCGCAATATTTGTTTTTATAGCATCGGAGGTTCTTTAATTGCATTCTTGCCATCAGTGTGTGGCCTTTTAAGCTAAAAATTTCCATTCTATTCTCTTCTCTATTCTTACAATTTGACATATATTCCAATTATACTTTAATACAAATTAGGTAGAACTTAAAAAAAAATCACACGTACGAGTTGATCGTAGTAGTTTTCAGTTAACGATGCTTATTTTCCAGGTAATGGTTTCAGTAGGATATTTTTAAACATAAAACAAAGAATGTAACTATCAATAAAAATAATTAAATGTTTTAAGCCCTTTTTTTTTCTTTACTGTTTACCTTTTTTTTGTTTTCTGTAGCTCTAATGGAAATGGGACGTTAACAATTCATATTACGAGTACCTTATTTATTTTTAACTAATAGTTGTTTATCAAATGACCGTTGATTTAATATAACAACAACAACTTAACTCCACATAGTGGAGTAAAGCTTTTTTACACCTTCTAAATTATTTACGTCTACATTGTACCTAGACGTAACAACACATGAATGACTGAGTTTCTTTTCTTCTCTAGATGGTCCAAATAAGGAAACAAAAGTAAAAGTAAGAAGTAAAGTAAATAAAAGCCTATATATGTCCCACTGTAGTGCAATATTTTTTATTATTATTTTGGTTTCCTCACGATGTTTTCCTTCACCGCTGAGCACGTGATAGGTCAGCATTTAAAATTAACAATTTCATTGGAGCCGTTACCGGGGATCGAACTCAGGCTGCTCTATGTATTGTATAGAATTAAAGGCTCGGCACACGGACACTGAGCTATCATGAACCAGAGAAGCCTACACTAAATTAAGAAAGTTTCATCATAGCTAGGATGACTATCATTTTCCTTGCAGTCGTGGATCCAGGTGTGGTGAAGTCTGGCGGTTATAAATACGAGGATGGCACTCGCTACGTGGGCGAGTGGAACTCGAAGGGCCAGAAACACGGGATGGGACACCTCCTGCTGCCTGACGGGACGCGATACGATGGCTCCTTGGCCGCTGGCATGTGTTCCGGCTTAGGTGTGATGGCATTTCCCGATGGAGCAAAGTATGTTCCCTTTTCCATATTTCATATTGTCTATGAACCAGCGCTTCATTTAATAGTTACTGAAGATTACCAACAGTAGTCATTTTTCTCAACAGAAATGGCCCGGTTATGTCCTCATTCACGGTAGAAACGCAAAGTACTTAATAACTGCACGCCGGTCTTCTGTTACCAATGGTACATCATGGTACATCGAGCTAGCCTGTTCGTAGAGCAAGAATTGCTTTACACACCGTTGTTACTTAATCTACTACTGCGAAATGTAAATATTTTATTGGGTTATTTCTAGAGTAACTAGCTCGGTATTTGTAACGTCTCTCTCGAGGTAGTGTTTGAATGTAATTAACGGGCTATATACCTTATAGTTATGGAGACAAAAATTGCAAAGCATATTTTGAGCTTGTAAATGTGACGAATTTAAAAAAAAAATTAATACACAATATTATCCGCTATAGCGTCAATCCAATATTCATGATTGAGATATTAGATTTTTACTTCTCTCCCCCTATATTACTTCCAATTTGAGTATACAAAAATACAGCACCTCCTAGAATTTAATCTTTGGAGACATCAGTTCATAAAATGTGAGCGATTTTGTTAACAGTATATGTTGCACGATTCATTAAAACATTGGTATATTACCTTAAAGAAAATTGGTGAAGAATTTAACTTCAAACGTATTTAATAAAGGCTCGTTTTTACTTTCAACAAGTGACATTGAAGTTTTCAAGATCTCGGACATTTTAGAATAAATTATGGGGTTATTTAGTGGACAAAGTTCTAATACAGTCTTAAATGGGATGGCATATTGATAAACATACAAAAAGATTTAGTTTTAGGCGGCTGTTCCATAAAGAAGATATTTTTCAACGATGACTGTCTAGTAATAATTCATCATCATCATCATCATTTCAGCCTGTTTGAGTCCACTGCTGAACATAGGAAAAATTTTTATTCGCAAAAATGAAGGTTCTCCTGCTATTCTGATACGAAACGAAACCCAAATAGAAGAGTTGAAGCGCGAATGACTAGTTCTTCATTTTTTATCTTATATTGTACATTATATAGAACATTGTTTGCGTTATTGCATGTTAATTTTAAGTTTTTATTCTTTCTATTTCTGTCTTAATCATCCATTGTTACTTAATTTTATAAACCATAAATACACTCAACACATGTCAAACCAAAGTACAAATAAAAAAACACTATACATAACATATAATTTTTTAAAACACCTGTACACCGTACGTTGATGTTCTTTAATCTTGTCAACATCTTAATGAACATTTATCGCAATCTTATCATATCACTATATTACAAAAAGAAAAGAGTTAATTCAAATATTGTATATAATATTTCTAACATCAAACTTTACTTAAGATATATACAATTATTATTTTACAACATTTTAAATTTTCAAGTCGACATTTTAAATCAAATGCAACGCTTACAAACTTCTCTTATTGAAAATAACACACACAAAGACTCCAAAAAGCAAATTTTAGGACAACGCTTCTTCCTTCGGATTATATTATTTTTATGCGCCCATAACCATTTAATATAAAAAAACGGACACTATAAATAATTTTGTCGACAATGTTGACAACTTCTCGATATGTGAATCTCATTGTTGTGTGCCGGAGGAGGCTCATTTATATGTTACACAACCAAATTATTTCTTTAAAGTTTTTAATCAAAACATAAGATCTATAAACTGTAACTTTCTTGGTCTCCAAACACTACTTGGTCGTATGCCCTTCGATTGTGATGTCATAGTCCTAACAGAGTGCTGGTTGGCTTGTTCAAGCAACCAAAATATTCCCCACATGCAAAACTACACTATGTTTAAAACTTCCACTCACCAAAATCAAAGTGATGGAGTCATCGTGTACATAAAAACTTCCCTATCCGCTACAGTCGAAGAAATTAATTTTCAAAATACGGCTACAGGTCTTCTAGCTAAGATTAATTCAGATTTGGCAGTTATTTGTATTTATCGATCTCCCGCAAAAGATAATATTAATGACTTTATCTTAGCCCTTAATGATGTACTAACACCGCTTTCAAAATTAAAATTACTCGTTATAACTGGAGACATTAACCTTGACATCAAATTCTCATCCCTAGAAAATCGTAGACAAGACTATCTAAATTGTCTTGCATATTATGGTCTTCTGCCCGCACATACTTTTCCGACTAGAGAAGAAAGTTGAATTGACCATTTTATTTTGCGGACTAACTCCACAGCAGTTGCACTCGTTTTTGACAGCACCGTTACCGATCATTATGCCTCCCTCTTAGGTATTAAAATAAAGTTTAAAAATCCAAATAACATAACTAAATTTGTATCTAAAATCGACTTTGAAAATTTGGACAAAACAATCGAGGATCTAGACTTTTCATCACTTTATTCCATATTAGATCCTAACATTGCTACTGATACTTTGATTGCACTCTTATCAAAATCTATTAAAGAAAATTTAACGATTAAAAAAGTTTTGCAAAAAATAGAATAATTAAACCATGGATCACAACAGGTTTATTAAAGTGTATAAGAAATAGAAACATGTTACATAGGAAATGTAGAAAGTCCCCAAATAGTGCAATACTTTCCATTACCTATAAGCGGTATAGAAATTTCTGCACGAAAATTATTAGAAAAGCTAAGAGACTTTACGATGCTCAACAAATTAAAAAGGCAGGAAATAATTCGAAAAAACTTTGGGATACGATAAAATCAATTACTAATTCTTCAAACACTAAACATTTCCCTACACAACTGATCGCAAATCATACGACACCTGAGCAAACCTGTAACGAAGCTAACAGGTTTTTCGTTGGTATTGGCAAGCAGCTAGCTGAAGAAGTATTGAAAAGCAACTCTTTATCAGATTTTGTAACGCCTCAATCTCCTTCAAGTACTTATTCTTTCGTACTTGAAAATACTTATAGCGAAGAAATAAATTTAATTATAAAGAGTTTGAAGCCTAACGCTGCTACTGGTTGGGATGGCATACCGACAAGTGTACTAAAGAGATACTCTGCGACTCTGGCACCTGTTTTAAGCCACATATTTAATCTTTGTTTCGTTAATGGTATTTTCCCAAATTCTCTCAAAAAGGCTATGATAACTCCAGTTTTCAAGAGTGGTGACGGGAGTATAATAATAAATAATTATCGCCCAATTGCAGTACTAAGTGCTTTATCCAAGATATTAGAACGATTAGTGAACAACAGGTTAGTTGCGTATCTTGAACATTATAACTTAATCTCTCCACAACAATACGGCTTTCGTAAAAATAAATCAACTTCTGACGCAGCCCATGAATTAATAAACTTTGTAGTAAATAACCTTAACAATCACATGAAGGTCATGACAATTTTTCTTGATCTTACGAAAGCCTTTGATACGATCCCCGTCTCCACACTTTTATTGAGTTAGAAAAAATGGGTGTCAGAGGACTGCAACACGATTTCTTCCAAAGTTATCTCACGGACCGGAAGCAAATGGTAAAATTAGGTGACTGCATCGGTGATAAGCTTCCAGTATCTTACGGTGTACCGCAAGGAAGTATTCTCGGTCCAACTTTGTTTCTTGTATTTATAAATAACTTATGCAATTTAAAAATCAATAGTGCAAAAATAATCACCTTTGCAGATGACACAGCGGTTACTTTCTATGCCGAATCATGGTCAGCCCTTCAGAGGAAATCGCAACTCGGTTTTAATACTGTGCATAACTGGCTCTTATCTCATACTCTTACCCTTAATACTTCGAAAACTAAATTTATACCATTTTCTATTAGTTCTTCCTCGCAACCCAAAATTCCTATTGTTATAAAAGTTCACTCTTGTTCTCGCCAAGTATGTCCTTGTCAATGCCCACAAATTTCTCCCAGTGAGAACTTAAAGTACCTCGGCATAATAATAGACAGACACATCTTAACTTTAAAACACACACATCAATCTTCTTACATCCAGACTTCGCAAAATGATATATATATTTAAAACTCTACGACATGTTGCAAATCCTTCAATTGTTCGTAATGTATATTATGCGCTATGTCAGTCTATTATTTCTTATTGTATTTCATGCTGGGGTGGAGCAGCTAAGTCAAATTTAAGGCCACTTGAGATTGCTCAAAAAGCTATATTAAAAGTTTCCTCCCTCAAACCAATCTTATATCCTTCTGTCCAGTTATACAAAGATTGTGGTGTTCTAACTGTCAGGCAACTCTTCATTCTTGACACAAAACTACTGCAACATCGTAAGACTCCTTTCATTAAAACAACAAAACGTCGTAAAGATAAGATTTGCTCTATCCCAAAAGTAAATTTCTCTTTTACAAACAGATTTTTCTACTACCGTGGACCTTTCCTATATAATAAAATTAACGCAAATATTTTGGTACATAACCTTTCTTACTATAACTGCAAAGCAGTTACTCGCTCTTTTCTTTTAAACCTAACATATCATGACACCGAAGAATTTTTAACGGCAATTAAATAAAAAAAAGAATGTATGCATTAACATGGTAAATTGGCATAAATCTCATGGTTAACACCGACACACGCACACGCACACGCACACACAGACACACACACACACACACATACACCACACACACACACACACACACACACACACACGTCATTATGAGCACACGCTTCACTTCAGTGCCTTATATGAGTACGAATACTTCACACACTGAGTCTCCTAAACACAGGTCATGTAATGACCTACTTAGGAGGTCAGAACCTTTCAGATCATAGAGTGTTTCAATTTCAATATGTTACTTATCACAAATTTGCTTGTAATTTTTGTAACCTAAAACTTTGATATTTAAATAAAGAAAGAATATTATGACGGGATAGGCCTCATCCAGCAATTGGGGGTGCTAATGGAACTAAGAGTGAACATGGACAAACACAGGTCATGTAATGTCACGCCTATACTTGTTGTTGGGAGCACTGAGGAGGTTGTTGACGAGTACGTTTACCTAAGACAGATAGTCCGGCTAGGTAAGTCGAACTTCAAAGCAGAGGTCAATCGGCGAATCCAACTCGGATGGGCAGCGTTCGGGAAACTTCGGCAAATCTTCTCGTCGAATATACCTCAATGTTTGAAGACTAAAGTCTTCAATCAATGTGTGTTGCCAGTGATGACTTACGGAACCGAGACGTGGTCCTTCACTGCTGGCCGTGTGAGGAACTCAAAGTCGCTCAGCGAGCTCATGGAGCGGGCTATGCTCGGTATTTCTCTGCGTGATAGAGTTCGTAACGAAGACATCCGCAGCAGAATCAAGATGACCGATATAGCTCAGAGGATTAGCAAGCTGAAGTGGCGATGGGCCGGCCATATAGCTCGTAGAACCGATAACCGGTGGGGAAGAAAGGTTCTCGAGTGGCAGCCGCGTACTGGCCATTGCAGTGTAGGACGACCCCCCACTAGATGGAGTGACGACCTGTGCAAATGTGCGGGAAGTCGATGGATGCAGGTGGCTCAGAACCGTACTTCGTGGCAGTCTATGGGGGAGGCCTATGTTCAGTAATAATTACTAACTATTAATATACAGCGTGTCGTTACCATCGCGACAATAAATGAACACACGTCTAACGCTACTTGCCAATAATCATAAAAAAATATTAACGTTAAACAAAATCCATAATTTAAAAAAAATACTTCTAATACAAACTAATTAAGTAAAAAAGAAACAAAATTTGTAACATCCTATACAACTCGCGCCACAGCGTCGTAATACAAGCTTCTCCTTCTAACAGTATGCTTTGTCTCTTTTAAATTCATTCAACCCATTCATATGCTTTGTGACCTTTACAAATGAACTTTACGTTACGCTTTTATAGGTAAGGGTGTTCTAAAATTCTTTGTTTTGGAAAATTTAATAACTCTGTAAATATTGATGTTTAAAGAATTTAAAAGTTTAATAAAACTTTAAAAACTTATACCCTATATGTGTGTTCATTTATTGTCGCGATGGTAATGACACGCTGTATAATTTATAATTACTATTAATTACAAGTGGCGGAAAAAATCAATTATTGATTTTACTCGTTATTTTATCAAGAATCATTTCACTCGAATGCGACGATGTCTAGATAATTGTATTATCGATGATGGGAGGGGCTAGGAAATATAACTATTTAATCCCTAGAAATACTGTACTGGGACATTCTCGCGTAAAAAAAAAAACCGTATCTTGGCAACTCTGTCTGTATTTGAACCTGGTTCGATTTGCTCCCACTTTGATGGATTAACTGATCGTACCATTATCCACTGAATTCAGAGCAACAAATTATTATACTTATATACTTATATGTAATATACGGTTAGAAGTTATCCCAATGTGAAGTACCGCCGAGCCCTTACAAGAGCACTCTTCACAAGAGATACTTGGGCTGATTTTCGAGTGTGTGAACGCATGATTTTTTTAGCCACATTGTTTATATCCAAAAAAAAATATTTATTGTTATTGCATACATTTATACTTTTAGTGTTTTATATAAATAACAAGTATTTTAAATAAACGTCAATATAATGTAGTACACCTGAATGCTACAGTTTATTTTCAGTACATATCTTAAAAATAATACATCTTTTACATAAAATGTCTATTTCACCTGTTCTACAGCAACTAATAACTATAACTAAACTATTTTGCTCCGTAAGTATTTATTTCTGTTGGATTTCATAAATTACGTTTTTGTCTATTAAAATGTCTATTCAATTGGAAGGAATCACTTTTTCTTCCCGCTTCTTTAGTATTATTAAAGTTAAAGTTATTTACCCTTTTTACTAGGGCGTATCTTGATCCCCTATAAATGATCCCCTGCCACCGGATCGATATGACAGGGTTACGTAAGAGTCCCGGGGTCCCAGGGGTAGGTCAGAAACGGGTACCCACTAAAATACCCGAGTCCGGGGTCCCAGGTAGGTTAGAAACGGGTACCCACGTTATATGCGTCTCTTTAGCATCGACTGCAGAGACGGGAACAGTAAGACACAATCTTCCGCGAACCAGCGTGAGTGATAGCGGTGCTACGCTACCCGGTCCAGCCAAGTGGTAATGTAATTCACACCAATTCAATTTGAAGTTTGCTAATAACATTTTCAGATACGAAGGAGAGTTCATGCAAGGTTGGTTCCACGGCCACGGAGTATTCTGGAGGGCCGACGGTATGAAGTTTGAGGGGGAGTTTAGAGGAGGACGCGTTTGGGGCTTAGGTGGGTAAAGTCGTAAACATTTAATTTATTAAAGAGCTTACAGTCACTTGAAATCTTACGCTATTGATTAATTTTATAAATAGTTGAAACCCATGCTGGTGGTAAGCCCTAAGTCCATTATTCAATAGAATTTTTAATTCAAAAGCCCGCCAATGTTTTATTACTACTCATTTGATTTTACAGAGTCGTAATAAGAGTGCTCAACAGTGAAGGAAAAAATCGTGAGGAAACCTGCATGTTTTTGATATATAATTAAAAGTTTTTTCGAAAATATGTGAAGTCCGCCAATTAACTCATACCCTCTTTACGCAGGAGGCCTTTGCCCAAGCAATGGGAAATTTATAGGCTGTAACTTTTTTCTTAGTTTATATTTCATTTTAGGTTTGGTGACCTTCAGTGACGGCAGCAACGGGTTCCCCAGAAATGAAGGCTTCTTTCAGGACTGCAAAATGGTCCGTCGCAAACGCTGTCCCGAAGTAGTGCAAAGGGCCCAAAAAGTGGCCTATATGGCCCGAGCCCAATGCCAGCAAGTTTAATTCAGTTTATTTTATGCTAATTTCAATATATACGTACGTAAATATGGCTGTAATTCATTACGCCGGTAACAAGAGATATACGTATTAGAACTTAAATGTTAATACGAGTATTAACTCTAAAATATTCTTACTTATTTAATTTCTTTTTATTTTAAATGAAGTGACTCTAAAAGCAGCAAATTTTTATCAGTTCATAAAAGTTCATATTAACATGATTGGTTGAGAAAGCAACTCAACCAATCATGTTAATATGAGATCCGTTGCCACTAATCCAGGTGGACACGATAAAATGTTGAAGATACACAATAAAATTTGGTTGCATTAAAAAGCGGGTTCTGAGATTTATGATTCTGGGATCGGTTTTGCTATTTATCAGATTTCTAACTTGCCACGTTTAAGGTTTAATAAGCTTAGTGAAGCTTATATAGCACTTATCTTAGGCCACATTGTGATGTTTTAACAGATGAAAGCCTGTAATCTAATTAACTAACTGCTGTGCGGTAACTTAATACTGGGCCAACATATTTAGGCCTCGACTCCTTTATCCTTTAATAATTTCTTTAGGTTTGTGTTCAACACGATAAGAAACTTACAAAACAAAATATTTTAAAATAATTACAATGCAGAGGTAGTGAAAAAGTTTATTAATATTTCTTAATTAGACGTAATATACAGATCTCAGATGTATTCTTGAACTTACATTTTTGAGGTTTAAATAAATTAAATAATTACAATAATACCTTCACATTGTACACTAATTATATTTCAATTTGTTACGTTGTATAGTTTCTTCATCATCCAAGCACTGACCATACCTCACTTCCATGCATTTGCTTCCCTGTAAAAAGCAAACGAAAATGACGTGTCTATGTTCTTCATTCAAATTATCATGTATTAAACGATCATCTTTAGAATTATACATAAGACGCACCGGTATATTAAACGTCACAAAATTAATTGGTTAAATATGAATGTATATATAATAATAAGAAGTAGAAAAAGTACAATAAATATTTTCAATAAGTCAATAAAGAAACTCAATGCAGCACTAAAACAACTCATATGTATTCGTTGGTAGAAAAAAATCCGGTAATTCCCAAAAAAAAGTCCCAGTAATTTGTTTAAATAATATGGGTTAGCGATGATTAAAGAACACAGATAGGATTCCCAATAAATTATCTACGCTATCAAAGCGGGCAAATTTCGAAAGCACTTGGCCGCTTGCGCGAAAATCCTCTCCTGTGTCTGCCATATAAGTACGGACATTGTGCACGAAAGTAAAACGATCTCGTGTCGTAACGTCACTTGTTACAAGACAGTTACATCGGCCGCTTTCACTCGGAACTTACACTTGCATAACAACGGACGTAACAGATACTTATACACAGCCGAGTGCTTTGCTCATTACAGGCGGGCGCGCAACTTGATTGCTATCTATAAAAATATTTTCATGTTCACTTGCGACTTTATGGCGCATTAAAGCGTCATTGACGACGTCCGTTTTAGTCGAATCACTCGGTTTCATTGAGCCGTAATTACTCTTTGGATTATCTTCAATGATAATTATTGAACGGGCTGTGTCAGTGAATTTCAAGAATAATTAAATATTTTGTAATTAATAGTAAAGCTTTCCGAAATCTAGAAAATTTGATGTTTACTGCTTGAAGTTGAATTTAATTTAGAATGAAAATTACTTATATTTCCTAATACTTCTATTTTACGTGCTCTTAGTAAAAGATGTTTAAAAATATCGTCACTGCCTACAGCGTTCACTAGAACCTTCAAAAATCCTATGAATTTAAGCTCTACTTCTCTGCATTCATCCATGTCTTGGTTGCTCTGTATTATGTTACATTATTCTCCTCGATTATCTATTAATTCCATTAAATTCCATCCTATCTAGCTTACTTATCGCTTTTATGTGAATCACTTTTATATTTACCTTAGCAATATAGGCCTTCATGTAGAAGTTCCCAAAGAGTACAATGAAGGAGATCATGTAGATGATGAGAACGTAATGCATCCACAAAGGAAACTCACAGCCTGTCCTGATACCATTGACACCGAGGATAAGAGCGCACGTAAACTGGATCTGAAACATTAAAAAATATCAATGTTCATGTTCTCAAATTACAATTTCCATTTGAGTGAACGGAGGAAGAGAGGAATCGTGTCTATCAGAAATCGGAATTTTCTTCCGACATTTGCTGGTGGAGTGCTGGAACACATATTAAATTTAATATACTTATGTTGCTTTGATGAATGTGTTTAAGAATATCTTAGGACAGGACATATTTTTACACAATGTTCTCCAACTAGTCCCAAACAAACCAAGGCTTGTACTATGGGTACTAGGTAACTTAAATAATACTTAAACATACTTCATTTTGTAAACAAATACATATTTTAGATAAAAAAACATCCAGACATTAGAAAAACACTCTGTTAATTACACAATATTTTTTCTAGTAGTGGGGTCGAACCCACACTCTCTGGCGCAGGAGACAGCTCAATGATCCACTACGCCAAGAGAATACATGCTAATTTCCTGCATGTAAAAATTTCATTATTGTTATTCATACTGTTTGTAAGCGGTGACCATATTGTCTCCTAAATTAACGTGAAGTATGCTTTTGATATTAAATGCGAATCCGTCTGTACAAATTGTTCGTGCTTATCAATAAAGATTTACACAGTTAAGTGTCAATTTTGGTAACGGCACAGTATAAACCTTTTGGCATGAGTAAAACGACCAGTTAACTTAAATGGTTCGCAAAAGTGGTTTATAGGTATTGACGTAATAAGAATACACTCAAAATTAAGCAAAAGGTAACAACAGTTATTGCCATAATTTTCTGCAATTTATTTTTATCAAGCCTGTTCAATAAGTAGCAAATTTACCCTAACTGTTTTTAAGTAAAATAACTTTTCGTTGGTAGCTAAAAATAACATTGATATCCTCCATTTATAATAATTGTGGTACACAATATAAAAATGAACGTTTGTTGTTCACAGAAAACTGAATAATGTTTTAGATGAAAATCAAAGGACGATGTTTACCTTTGTAGTAGATGTAACAACATCTACTATAAATTTACACATTTATTGTGTATTTTTGCTAAAGTAACGAGAACCGTTGACGTTATTTTGATTTAATGGCTTTGGCTAAATAAACGTGAAAAGTTGGCAAGTGAGCCTGTAGTTCACATGATACTAAGTCCTTACCACCGCCCATGGAGTTCTACAGCACCTGATGGATTGCAGTTGCGTCACCAACGATTAAAAAGGACGATCCCAGTTACCACACTCACCAGATGAAACGTGAAAACATAATACTCCCATTATACGCCGGTCTTTTTTTATGTGATAAAGTGGCAAACGAGCTGGCGGTTCACCTGATGTTAAGTTATAACGCCCATGAACTTTTGCAACACCCGTAGCGTTGCAAATGCGTTGCGACCTTCAAATAAAGAGGGCCCCGGGTACCTCACTGACCAGACGAAACGCAGAAGTGTACTTCTTCTACTTTACGCCGGTCTTCTGAGGGCGCGGTACTTCCGCAAACGAGCCTGCCCATTTGTGCAACGGTATACGCTGCTGCGTGGTCCTACCACAGCCAAAAATTTTTGCCTTTAGCACAACTAGTAGGATGCGTCAAATATTTAAATTTGTAGACTATCTACTTCACAATGCTTTCTGTCGATTGTAACGGTGACAAAATTCTTACCAATTGCAATATGGTGAGGTACTTTTTCCACCAGAGATACTTGCTGACTGATGGACCAAACACCGATAGACCGTAGTAGGTATACATTAGAACATGTATACCACTGTTCACCATCGCAGGGAGGAATGCTGGAATAGTAATGGCAATGAATAACATTGGCTATTAAGAATATTATTAAGTTGTATTTCATATTTTTTTTATGAGAGAAGGTGGTAAGCGAGCTGGTTCCATCTGATGTTAAGTGATAGCTGCCGCCCATGGACATCTGCAACACCCGTAGGGTTGCAGATGCGCTGTCACTTTTTCATATGTGGGTTCCGGCTACCTCACTCACCAGACGAAACGCAGAGGTATCAATTCTAATATAAAACTTCCTCGCCTTCTGTGAGGTCTTGGTACTCACCCGGACGGAACTGCCCATTCGTGCAACAGACAAGATTGTTGAAGTTCTACCACAGTCAATAAAGTAGTCAGTAAAATATTTATCTACAATGAATCAAAACTCTTGTTTTGCTCATTTTATTTCACTTTGCACGTGTACTTACTTTCGTATTACTTTTAAGATTTTTTTGTATGCGAAAAGAGAACCTCTGCATACATTTCTGATTATTTGGTCACTATAGAAAATATGTATAATTTGCGATAAATGTCCCAGCTTGTTCTTGAACAATTAAAAGTTCGACTTTACTTCAATGACATGTTTAAAACAATATTAATTAAATGTTTCATTAATTAACAAAGGCAATTGTTTATTTATCAAATGAATCTTTATGGAGATGAAATTGCGGCGACATTATTACTTTAAGCTATTGATTTATTGCGCTATTAAATAGTACGCAATTTTTCTAACATAAATGATATCATGTTCATTAAATTATTTATTTAATTGTAAAAAAAAAATCCTAATGATAAGAGTGTAACACTGCACTTATCGTTAACGTAGTGTCTATAATATTATCACTACTCTCATTTATTATACAATAAAATGAAGTTAACTACACATTGAGATTCTCAAGTTTTTAATATATTCATAGAAGAAACGCCATCTGAGAAATTGTATTTGCTGCAAAGGAAACATCCTACAAAGTTTACATTTTTCGATAATACTCATCTTAAGGGATTAGGACTAAAAATAAAAAATAAATAAAAATTGAAATAAAATATTTTCTTCACTGAAATGTAAAAAGCAGTGATCATCTTTCTGCCCCTATCCCATCAAGGTGGGGTTGGCACAACATGTGTTATCTGTGAGTTACTTGCTCCATGCGGGAGTCGAACTCACGACCCTCGAGGCCGAATTCAATAGCTTAGCAACTGGCCACTTAGTCATAAAACATAATTTAAATAATTTTAAAAACAGTAAGGGAAATAATTATTAATAAAAATGGTTTCACATTCAATCCAGGATTTTCTGATCAAGACACAGACATGATTAAATGTTACCAGGAATGGGTTATATTACTTACTCGACCCGCTGGGCACCCACTTAATCCCGATCCACCAGAAGCTAAACATAGTTGAATGGTGGTACACGTGCAAGAACGTCAGCTGTTCATCTTTCTTTCGTAGAATAAAAAAGAAGGTGTCGCAGAATTCCAAGAGCTTAGAGAAGTAATACCACCAGACTGCATCAGCGATCTACGAATAATAAGTTTTTATGTATATATATATATATATATATATATATATATATATATATATATATATATATAAATATGTTACGTACCTAAAATTTGATGTATAGTATTAGTAGTGCTTTTTGAGTTGAATATTTAAAAATATCATTTTTTACACTTATGGTAAACAAACATCTAGATAAAATATTTCTTCTTGATTTTCTTTTTTATTTTGCCATGGTGGAATTATTTGTTGTGTTTTGACACATCAATCAGTCATAATTACTAGCTGACCCGACAAACGTTGTCTTGCCGTAAAAATGATTTCTAAGGAATTTGTAGGGTAGAAAAAAATATTTGCGGTGGACCACCCTTAACATTTAGGGAGATGAAAAATAGATGTTGTCTGATTTTCCACCCTGGCCGATATGCACACAAAATTTCACGAAAAACGGTCGTGCCTTTTCGGAAAAGTTCAATTACAAACACCGTGACACGAGAATCTTATATATTAGATAGTTGCAGTAGAAATAAATTATGTCTATATATTTTTATGTTAAAATTGTGTTTAATTTAACAGTTTGGGTTTTTAAACTATGGTTTCGTTAGAATTTGTGATTTGAACTTCAGCGTTGAGAGCCCTGGATCTTGTTCTGTAAGTTAAATATGTAAGTAAAAATAAAGTAAGACCTATGCATTATTTGTCACGAAACGAAACTTTTCTATATTTGCAAAACGCCTCTAAAATGCAAGAATATACCGACAAACTAAGGCATAAACAGATTTTACAATAAGAAAACATACGATAATATAAATTCTAAGCATAACTCTTTCCTTCCGTACGTAATTTATTTATTTTAGATTTTAGTGGATCGTATTTTAGATTATCAACCATGTTTGGTTATGAGGCCAATAATTGAAATAAGTTAAAACTTTTTTAAAGTTTTATATAGTGCTAATCTCTGCACTTAAGATTAAACATTAAAACTTGCGGCGGATAGGACAATCTGTTCGTACTTTTTCTACAACTTTTAATGTTTTAATAAGTTAAAACTTTTATAATAATAAAACTAATGAAAAATACCTTAAAACAATAATAAAAATGTATACATTATATAATTTTTATTTTTATTACTTTTTGCGAATACCGCACCCCGAGGCTGTAACCACTTAGCTAAGTGAAATATGTTCTGACGTCGCGGAAAACTAAACATTGTCAATGCATGGCCTCATAGTTTGTGCAATTTTTAAGGCATGCAAACACTTCGTATAACATTTTCATAGTTAAAATTTGAACGTGAGATGTCGCCTTTGCTATTAAATTTTGTGATATTTTTTTATTTAAACAAAAAAATAGTCAAACTTATTAATAAATTACATAATTTTCATTGTTTCTAATCCGTTGTGCTGGAATAACTTTTAAAATCTTAGCTACAATTAATCACATTAGTAGTAAAAAATTCAATGATCATGTGTTAAGGTTTAATTCCTCTATTAATTTAACAATTTATTGTTTTTAACTTACGTTAACCTATAAAGAGATACTCATTTCATAGCCATGTCCATTTGAATATTAAATATAGCAATCAATGACGACCCGAATGGCGTAGTGGGTAGTGTACCTGCCTCCTGCGTCAGAGGGTGTGGATTCGATTCCCACTACTGGAAAAATATTGTGTGATGAACTTAGTGTTTTTCCAGTGGCTGGTTGTTTATATAATTATGTATAATATGTATTTATTTACAAAAGGAAAGTATTTTTAAGTATGTTTATCAGTTATCTAGTACCCATAGTACAAGCGTTGTTTAGTTTGGAACTAGAGAACGTTGTGTAAAAATGTGTCCTTAAGTATTTATTTATTTATTTAACGATAATTGGTTCAGCAGAGGAATTGTTACTTACTTGTAACTCGTCTGGATCGTACTTTTGTCTGCACGGCTCGCATATATAGCTGTACCTTAATCTAAAGGAGGCCGTCAGTAACCTTAAAGCTATGTAGAAGTTAAGGGCTGCCATCGCTAAGTTATATGGTACTAACAGCCACGTCAACTTGAAAGGCTGCCGGTGCCTCATTAACTTTGGCCCCGCCCAAACTATGAAGAGGTACATGATTGTATAGAATACTGTTGGCAACGGAGAGTCGACCAGTGGCCATCCCTTTGTTCTACTGTCTGAAAATAACACGATCGATTACTCACAACAATAATGAGGGTTGGAACTATGTTAAAACTAATTACGGGTAAATAAGTTAGGAAGAGCTATTCGACATAATCCAGTTTTACCGTATATCTTTGCTTAACGTAAAGTTATTTACAATAGGTAATAAAAAGAACATAAACTTATATTTTGGTTATTATGGATAATATCTGACACTGTGTTACATTTAGATATAGATTGTTTTACTAGTTTAGAACGCATTTCTTAGTTCCTTCACAAATGTCTTTTACAAATTGAGTTTTCGACTTACCTGAAAGTGAAAGTGTCCATAGATAATAATCATAGGTGTCTTTTAATACGGTCTGCGTTGAATTAACTATTGTTGTTGTCATTTTGCTCTCGTTTTCGGCTTTATCTGCAACGGATAAAGGTAAATTCAAAGACATTATTACACGATCAGTCTGAACGTTAAAAAATGTTTCATGCAAAATGATCAATACACTATTTTTTATGGAAAAAGGGGCAAACGAGCCGGGGGCTCACCAGATGGTAAGTGATTACCGCCGCCCAAGAACACCTGCAACACTCGAGGGCTCACAAATGCGTTGCCAACTTTCGAATGATAGATAGTAGAAAGGTTGTCAACGCATCTGCAAACCTTCGGGTGTAGCAGATGTCCATGGGCGGTGGTATTCACTTAACATCAGGTGACCCTTCTGCTCGTTTGGCAACTATTCGCACAAAAAAAAAACCCTTAAAGATGGAAGATTCAAGAATATTTGTTTAGTCAAAATATTTGAGTATTCCTACCAATATAACTGTGGTAGGGCAACGCAACAGTCTTCGCTGTTGCACGAACAGGCAGGTCCATTGGAAGTGTTACACTTCTGCGTTTCGTCTGGTGAGTGAGGTAGCCGGGGCTCTCTGTATTATAAGGTGGTAACGCATCTGCAACCGTATTGGTGTTTCAAATATGAGCGGCGGTTATCACTTAACATTCGGTGAACCGTCAGCTCGCTTGACAACTTCTGACAAAAAAATAATGTCATAGATTAAAAGAAACGTCTATGACGACTAAAGCAGCCTGTACATGTGCCACAGTTGTAAAGAGGGAATGTTCACCACGTGACCCGACTGCGGATTGGTGGACTTCACATATATACTTCTTTTCGCATTTATTTAGAAAAAAATATGAGCAAACACTGCCAAAAGGCGACGTAATGAAGTTGGTTGCAAAGCATTAAATCTCTTTTTCACAAACAAAGATTACTGGCACATGGGATAAATTTTTTTAGTTATTTTTCTTTTTTTATGCTAAAGAGGTATAACTTCTAAGTGCATACATATGTACACATATACTTGTTTGTAATTATTTAGAAAATATGCGGGTTTCCTCAAGATGTTTTCCTGAACTACTGAGCACGTGATAAGTCAGAACTCAAAATTAACAGTTTCATTGCTGCTGGCACCAGGATTTGAACTCAAGCTGCACGAGTATAATGAATCAAAAGCGAGCATCCGAACACTGAGCCATCTAGGGTCATCATACCACCTATTAAATTGTATAATAAAGCTTAATGAAAAAACATATCAAAGCGAGGAAAAAGAAACCTCTGAGGGCAAATAATTGCCAAAACAATAAGCCGCAGGAAAAGCCGCACATAATTGATGTTGTTTGTTGTCTTCTATCTTAAAGCAATTATAATTTGTTTTATAGCTAAATATTTCTGAAGACATTACTTTTGGTTACATTATTTACGATCCCTTTATCGGATGTAATGGCAACTGCTTTGATTTTGTATCCTTGTATCTCATAGTGCTTCTAAAGAATCATAGCCCATAGTCCAAGTGCTACTGGAAAAAGTAGCACTATAATAGTGCTAACGCATTGAATCAAGCTATACAGCGTGTCGTGATAACCGCGAATATAAATGAACACACGTCTAACGCTACATGCCAATAATCATAAAAAATATTAACGTAAAAAAAATCCATAATTAAACAAAAATATTTTTCAAACAAACTAATTAAGTAAAAAAGAAACAAAATTTATAACATCCTATACAACTACAACTGACTGATTCATACATTCAGAGACTTTTTCATTCGTTGCCACAGCGTCTCATTATAAGCCTCTTCTTCTAACAGTATGTTTTGTCTCTTTTAAATTCATTCAACTCATTCATATGCTTTGTGACCTTTACAAATGAACTTTACGTTACAGTTTTATACGTAAGGGTGTTCTAAAATTCTTTGTTGTTCTTGTTAAATTTAATAACTCTGTAAATATTGATGTTTAAAGAATGTAAATGTTTAATACAATTTTAAAAAGTTATCCTCTATATGTGTGTTCATTTATTGTCGCGATTGTAATGACAAGCTGTATACATATGTTTGAAAATGTGCAAACTATTTTTTTCAAGGTTCCCTTTCTTCCCAGTCATATATCTAACGTCGCTAGTTAAAGCTAAAGCTTTAGTCACAATTCTATAGAGCACTTATCAAGACGAAGACCCGCGCCAAAAACTTTGAAAAAATTCTCAAAATTGATGATGAAACTTATGTACCAGTTGACCCCTCTGATATTCCCTGAAAGCAATATTTCCACGCTACCAGTCGTGGTGAGGTGGATTACAGCGAAAAAGTTAAAACAAAGGCTAAATTTTTTAAGGAGTAATCTGGTTTGGCAAGGTATAGACGAAAACGGCAAAGTTTCCGAACCATTTATCTCTATGAACGGTCTATGAACACACAAATTTATCTTCGAGAGTTTATTATGAAGCGATTAATACCGTTTTTAGACAATTATTATCAGAGGGAAGACGTTGTATTCTGGCCGAATATGGCTTCGTGTCCTTACGAGTCTGAAGTCACTCAATATTCGCAATCTATGGGCGTCGAATTCATATCGAAACAAAACAATGCTCCAAATGTTCCTCAAGCTCGAGGTATCGAAATGTTTTGGGCTCTGTGTAAAAAGAAATACAAAAAGTATTCAGAAAAATCAAAAACGTTGACATCTTTCAAACAAAGATGGGCTAAATTGGCCAAACGGGTGGCAACAACTTCTGGGAAATCAGTCATGAGACGTGCAAGCATTAATTTGAGAAAAATCGGCTGTAAAGGCATCGCAGGAGCAAATTTGATATAGATTGTATTTTTATTATTATTATGCATAATTTATAATGACACACATAACAGTTGACATACAATTTTTCATCTACTTCTCTTTACTTCTGGGACACCCCAGTAATAAAATGCACATTCTTTAATAACGTATCTTTGTCTAACGCTCTCACATTGGACGTGTGTCTGTAATGTTAGCTAAAAAGTTGGTAAGTAAATAAAGTTATATCGGGGCAGCTCATTACGCATGTCTGTAGTTTTAGCTGTTAAGTGAAAAGTCAGTAAATAAATAAAGGTATATTAGGGCAGCTGTTGGCTTTTTCGCGTGCAATAATTATTCTCGCATCTGTGCCCAAAGTTTGTCCCGTTCTTGGTTTAAGGGGCCTAAGGTATTTTTTCTGAAAGGACTTTACGTGACTAAATTAATAAAGCGTGAGTTATTTATTATTTTCAATATTCCTTCCATACTGCGGTATATTGTTACATTTATTTTACAATGATTGACAATTTATTAATGATACAATGTTGTTAAAGCTACGTAGGAATAAACACTCATAGATTTTACGATTCATGTCTATTGCGTACTTAACAAACACGTCAACAAATGTTCGATAAAATTTTAGATAAAGCAAATACCTTGTAGGCAAACAACAATAGATCGTTATTTGCAAGGATACTGTAGAGAAAAACGTATAAATCCTTAATTTACCATTCGAACTTTATGACTATTGAATACGTCATAAATGAAATAATTGTAATCAGGCCCAATATTGGCTTATAATTTGGGCAAATTCATTTCTTCTTTTTTCTTTTTACTTTAAAAGCATTGTCATCACTTTAGGATAACATTATTCTTTGTTGTAAGGACGTTATACACACATAATTTTCACGCGGACAAATACCTAGAAACAACTATCTGTGGGTCACACAAGTAGTTTTCCCGCGTGGGAATCGAACCCACGACCCCAGACGCCGAAGCCAATACCTTGGCAACTGCGCCCCGGATTCATCGAGTTTACGTAGTTATGGAATTCATTTCGATTTTTAATTTACCGAAAACAGCAGTTTTGATAAATGCTACCGATACATTTTTATAATTTTTACTTAATAACTCATATAAATTGGACGCGTTATTATATGTTCGTAGAAGTCAGTTAAAACACAAAACTTTTATGACTTGACCATTGTAATCGAATATATAACGCAATTTATGGAAAGTTCTCTGTCAAAAAGCCTGTTGAAATAGGCTTACTCAAGTTATGATTATATTTTAACTTCGAAAGTCAATTTAGAAAGTGTTTTGGATTCCACTTCAAGCTCTCTGTCAAGTTGCACGTTGTTTATTTTACAATATAACCGCTGAATCATGGGAGAAATCTGCGAGGTGCGTTCGTTTTATTGATTTCATAAGCGCGTTGCGGAGTGGTGCGGTCAGTCTAGGCACGGGTAAAATATTAAATTGAATTTATTAATTATTCAATAAACTGTATGATATTAACAAATAAAAAAAAAAAAAAGAATTAAACATTTAACAATGAATATGTAACGAACAATTGCTAAGAGTCTTCCATGTCAGCGATGGCTATTTAAATATTTTAAAACGATTCGTATAATGCTAAAAACTTTTTTATTCACTTGAATCTTTTCGCACTTTTTCTAGATATTTTAATAATTTTCTACATATTTTAAAGTGAATCGTATTGATTTGTTACTTCATACATTGGCATTCTATCATTGTCGTCTCTACCGTTAAAACCTATCAGTAATTAATATCCTAAAGTCATATAACATTGTTTGTACAAAGGCTGCATATACGAGAATAATTTTTTTTCACTTCAATAGATGGTTGATAATAACTTGATTTGTTACTAATTATGTTATTAAGTTATAGTATAATTGTTATTAATTAACATAATATATAACAGGTAAACATAACATTTATAGAATGAAATGTATAAAATTTCCTATTGAAAGCATACAATGTGTTCAAAAGGATATGAAAAACTTTGTCTATATTGTGTAACTCATGTAATGCTTCTCATTATGAGACCGGAAAAGTGTGATAATGATGGTAATATACTTTACTAGCTCCTGTCCGCGACTACGTCCGCATAGAAGAGGTTGAAGGCGAAACATTCGGACGGAAAGACAGATGTACATAAAAATGTGTATACAAATTATAGCCTATGTGTTATTCTGATGTATAAGCTATATTATTGTAAAGTTTCATTAAAATCCATTCAGTAGTATTTGCGTGATAGAGTAACAAACATCCTTCCATACATACAAACTTTCGCCTTTATACTATTAGTAAGGAAGTAAGGAAGTAAAGATTATATTTTTCCTGGTATTAAATGTACAGGCCGAAATAACTTGCTGATAACTACGCGACGGGGAACGAAGTTGTTCGCAAATAAAAGTCCTTGTTACATAAACGTGTGTTTTGTAAAAAAAATATAGTTATGTATACTATATAGTGTGTGTAGTTATGTAAATGATGTATGTTTGTGTTATAAAAATTACAGAAATATATATTATTGTTATTTAACATATGGTTTTACTTCGGAATTGTTGATAATAGTACGTTTAAAATGCAGTTACAGAACAACCTGCAACTTTACAATGATGAGTAATAATTTTTTTAATGGTGTGATCACACATATCACAATTTATAAACTCTTATTAAAATAATTATCCTATTATAATGTCATTTACTCATCATACAGAACACTAAACGCTAAACTAAAGCTTTTGGCTGTAAAACTTTGTTTTATTTCACTCGAAGCACACACGTTGCAAGTAAAAGAAAGTGATCTCATTTGCCTTCTTTTAAATTTTTTTCTCATTAAGTCTATTGAAGTGTACTCGTAGGATCATGAAAATTACACAATAGAAGTAATTTTAAAATTCCCAAACATAATGTTAATACCGTAGTATAAGATCGTTCAATTTGAATGAAGACCTAAGAGCACAAGTAACACTAACACTTTGTTCTCCTATAAGCTTTTCCTTACGTTCATCGATTGTGAAGCGTTAAAATTTTTGAGTCCACCCAAAAGCTCTTAGCATAGACGTAACTGTTGAAAGTAAAATTCCACTCTCTATTTACTTCGGCTGATGAGTGATTGGATGCGATTTCTCTCTTCAACGCATCCACCAGATGAACGCGCGGTTGTCCGTCAAATGTATCGAGTTCACACTTTCCTAACAATGAGATAGGGGTCTTTTGTGTAGTTAGTACGTCTCAATGGTCATTCAATAGAGTGAAAGTGCCGGCGCGAGATGATGGCGCCGTGGGGGGAGGGGGGAACGGGCCCTCTAAATCACGTGCCGTTGCCGAGTATGACGTTTCCACGCCGAAGTTAAGACGCTATTAGTCCCGAGATATTGCTATTGCGTTTGCATGATCTAGCATCGCTTGCAACGCGATAATTAGAATACTGTTGCATCTGCCTTACGTGTGCACAGTTTTGATTAAACGATATGATATTTGTAGAAAAATGTACAAAAAGTTTTTCGCTGTTACCAGAATTTTAAACTACCTCCGGGCTACACGTGCGACGCTCTAGCCATGGCAGCTAGATCAAACGGCATATCGTCAACATCATCTACCGGCCACTTTTCGCCCATATCAAATTTTCAGTTTTATGTTCGTAAAGTATTAAGTTCACTATAAAAATTTATATCGTTTAAACAAAAGATGCTATTGAGATAGCACAAATCATTACACGAATAATACTTTATTTTGATCGATGTTTTTGCTTCCAGTCCACACACTATTGAAACTTTATCGAAAACAGGCGCTGAGATATCCAGATCTCACGACCAAGAAAGACTCTTTATTCTAAGACCCTTCGTGTTTTCCCTGAGTACTTTCTGTTGTTTTGTGATCATTACTAAAATAAGGTTATTTGTTAATTTTAGATCTGTGCAAAGCTACAACAGTTCCCTTTAACAGATATATTTGGTATAAGTTAAAACGCGTTTGTATCCTTTTGTTCATATGAAACTTTTAAATGTTAGGTTTCTTACCTATTTTGTTTGGCTACTTGGTGAGAAGTGTTCAAAGTTCCTGAGAAAAGTAAATTGATTTTGCGTCAATACTTTCCTAACACAACCCTGCATTACGGTGTTGTTGACTGGGTAAAGTTATATTTCCTTGGAATTGTTGACTCTTGCTGAATAAAATATCGTATTTAATTCCTTGTGTTTACAAAATCTCCAAAAAAGAGATAACCGTTTATGGCAAAACTTAGCATCCTAAAAAAAACATTTATTTTTTTTATAAAATTCTCATTCTTCTTTTTTACGTTACATTTCAAGGCATACATCTTATTTGGTTGCGAATCTAGGAAAGAAATTTCTCGTGTCACAAATGGACGCTATTAAAAATTACTGACACACCTGCCCTAAAAATTGTAATGTATCATTAAACATTCAGGTGCCCGCAGAGGGTAGAAAGAGCTTTTTTATTTATAATTTAAGTTCAGTTCTAGTGGTCTTACTCCATTTAATTTTATATTAAAAGCAGTTACAGAAATATTCGCTGTGGGAATCGAACACACGTCTTCGGCATTCGCGGCCTGACGCTCTAGCCACTGAGCTAAACGGCTGACAAGCACAGTGACGAAAATCCTTACGCCTTCTTTCTACTTTGTTATTTAGCATTTGATGCAATGCTTGGCTTGGCTTGCTTGCTTGCAATGCAGTGCTTGCTGTAATATTTTACAAAACACGTTTAAAAATAACCATCATCTGTCCTGTTTTACAAAAAGTCATTTCGTTTGAACCCAAGAAAAGTAATGTAAAGAGAAAAGTATGTATATTATTATTATTTTTTTATCCCCGAACTTAAATGCACCCTTATAACTAACTGTCTGTAACCAAAATTTTCGGCGAACTAAAAATACATCAAGATAAACCTCAATTGATTTACAAAGAGATTTTTTCTGATTTTCTTTCTCTTTAAGACTGTTTTTAGTGCATTTACCGTAACAAAGTCACAAAATAGCACTATCCACTAAATATTCTCTAATGTTATTATTTAGTTTCTCTGACTTGTAATTAAAATAATTTAAATACTTCATGGTGGAAGTATAGTATTTAAGCGAGTGAGATAAGTATACTTTTATACCGAGATTTACAGGAAATATATCCATAAAATAGTTAATTAAAACTGAATTAGGCTTTATTGCCAAGGGTAATATAAATAAATACGTAGTGTAATAATTTCCCGTTGCGTTCCCGATTGCGTATCTCATCAAATACGTACAATAAGTGATTTTGTTCGTGATCGCGAAAAATACAATACAAATACAAACACTTAAATTTCAAGAGTCAAACGGTAACTCTGGTTACATCTCGATCATCAACTCCCGTTTTATAAATTTATTTTACTTGAAAATAAGTCTTTTATTAATGATTTTACTACATAGTTACGTACCTATATTAAGAAATGAATAAAAAAATCTAAGATAAATAATACGGCGGCGAAGTCCTCGAAGTCGACTATGCTTTATTTTATTTGGAAATAGAATTTAATTTTTTTAAATGTTCATGTCATGAGGAGCACAATAAAAAACCGGCCAAGTGCGAGACCAACTCGCGCACGAAGGTTACCATTAGCTGTACTTAAAAGAGTCCAAAAAATCATGTCTGTTGTATTTGAGCCCTACTTTATCAATTTTTTATTCTGTTTTTAGTATTTGTTGTTATAGCGGCAACAGAAATACATAATCTGCGAAAATTTCAACTGTCTAACTATAACGGTTTATGAGATACAGCCTGGTGATAGACGGATAGACAGACAGACAGATAGCGTAGTCTTAGTTATAGTATCCCGTTTTACCCTTTGGGTATGGAATCCCAAAAATGTCTTACCCTGCATGCCTGTCTGCCCTTTTCTTTTGTGCAAAAATAGATATTTTAATAGCGAGTGTTGTTATTAATAAAATACTACCGTAACATTATGCTTCTAATGTTTTTTTTTAAATCGCAATTTAGAATAAAATGGTAACAAATAATAGATCTCAGTACAACCATCAAGAACACAAGTATAATTCAAAGAACAATATTGGCTTATTCTAAACCTGACTTAAAATAAGAAGTATTTAATTAAGGTATAAGTTTATATATCAACCAATAATGTTATTGATTCAGATCGTGCCAGTATCCATTATAATTGAATAATCTATGCAAATCATAAATATATATATAGCGATAAATGAATAACATGAAAAGTTGAATAAATTACGTAAGACTATCCTTAAGATTAAATTTTATTGAAAACAATGTTTTTTCCAAAAAACCTTAGTGCTTAAATTCGTAAACAAAATGAAAGGACGTTGATATGGGCTATCGGTGATGGTTAATAATGAAGATAGTAAACATTACGAGGGTTTGTAAGAATACCAACAAAGAATTTGACGTTAATTAGAATTATCTTCTTAATTAACCATAATAGAATGGTTAGCGAAAATAAATACACATGGAAATCCTTACCGATACCCCGAGTTGTTTGCGAATCGTTATGTGTCGACACTGCGTGAACACGTCTCGTGCACAAAGTCCAGAATTCAAAAACGCAAGTGGAGCGCGCTGCGCCGGCGGCTCTCTGTTCTTTACTGCGACAAATCACCGCTCGACGCAAAACAGGGGTACACACAGCCTCTCCAAACTTGTGGACCCCTACATTTGCGAGGTGCTGACCAGATCTAAAAGGGGCAATCAGATAGAGCTATATTTATATACATAGATAAATTTAAATATGTCATTTTAAATTGTTCAAGTTAATTAAAACAAAGTCGATGCAAAAAAATTCTTATACGGACACATGAATGGAGAAAGGATGCAATAAAAACAATTTTTATGACGTGTTACGGAATCTAGACGTGTATATAATCTAGGGTACGCCACTAGTGATCGGCTGACTTAGTCTGCATTCCAAAGTTCAATAAATAAAAAAATTTAATATCACAATATCACACACAAAATTATGTCAGAATATTTATAAATGTAAACCACCATATAAGGTAAAAGCGTATTTAATTCAAACACGAGCTATAATAACGGAAATTTAATAGGAAAAAAATTATAAAGTTGTTTTACGTTATAAATAACGGGCAAAAATAATAAAATACCGAACTAAAACATAAAACACAAAATTAATTTTGATGTTTTAAATGATTTCATATTAAGTTTTAATATGATCATAATAATAAATTACAACACGTCATTTGGATGAAACTTGATAAAATTGTAAAACCGGTTATAAATTCTTTAGACTAGATAGATTGTAAGAGATTTTTCTCCTGTATACAGTGATGGATGATACTTGCTGTTTCTATATCCCATACTTTTATAAATAAAGAGGTAAAATGCCTTTGTTTTGTTTTTAAAAGCTTAATCAGAACCACTATCGTAACTCTCAATTTACCTTTTTGTAGTAACCGTTTTTGAAATTTTACTCGGAGTAATATGACTGATTTTATGTCTAGTCCCAAACTAAGCAAAGCTTGTACTATGGATACAAAGTAAGTGATAAACATACTTTTCTTTTCTAAATAAATACGTATCATTGATATATAAACACCCGGATTCTAGAGCAATTCTATGAAACAGCACACAATGTTTTTTCCAGTGGTGGGGACCGAATCCAAACTCTAGCGCAGGAGACAGGTCAACGATTCACTACTTCAATCGGATCGTCATAGACGTTGAAGCAACGTTTTAGAACGCTTCTACATTCGCATCCTATTGAAGCTGTCATAATTTATAACGAAATAGTCAATTTACTAAAGCACGAAATATTCACAATTTTATTGGCTGTTACTACTGTAGATATGTCCCACATAATAAAAATTACATTTTATGCCGAAAATTGCTTTTTGTTTCCACAAACAGTCAATCTCTCACATCAGATAATTTTAATACGTAGATATCAGCAACATATTTCATTAATTTACATTGGTACATTTTATTAACATTATGTCGTTTAGTTCAGTGCCATGGAATTAATCTGCCATGGAATTAATCGTTAATGTTTAAATTTTATTTCGGAGGCAAAGATATGATTACCCTATGACGTAATGTCAGAGGTTCACTGCAAATACGTTAATATTGCTGCATATCAAATGTTGCACTTTGACATGCCAAACTGTCAACGTTTGACTGTGAATACTCGGCGTGTTATCAACTGAGTCGTCCGGCCATAAATAATTTCTTTATGTCTATCTCGCTCGCACTTATAGATCTTATGGACCTGCTTATATAGTAATGTGCGTAAGATGAATAAGCAAAAATCGATAAAGAAAATAAAAATAATATAGAAAAATAGTAGATGGTATTGGGACCCTGAAAAGGCTGTTTTGTAATAAATGTTATGAAAATTCCTATTGACATTTATGGCCCGATGACTCAGCTGTTAATGCGCCGACAATAGACTCCTAAAGTTATATATGTATATATAAATAGCGACCCTCCCCGGCTTCGCACGGGTGCAATGTATTATACTTATGAACGTTCCTCTTGAATCACTCTATCTAGTAAAAAAACCGCATCAAGATCCGTTGTGTAGTTTTAAAGATCAAAGCATAAATAAGGACAGACAGACAGCGGGACAATTTTGCTTTATACTATGTAGTGATGCAAAGAGACGTTTACATTTCAAGTGAAATTTCACCACAGTCACTCACTTGTTTTGCCTTCCCGGAACCCCTCCACTAACACTTAAACTTTAGGATATGGTATAAAACTTCAAATTGACTTTTTTATTACGAAGCTTTTGTACGGGTATATGGAAAGTGTTGTTTTAGACTTTTTCAGGCAATTTTTTAATTATTTTTTCTTTCATAAGCACCTTCTCTTGATAATAACAAACACAACAAAAAAAAGTGAAATCGGTGAAACCGTTCACGAGTGATGGCGTGACCAAGGGAAATAGGGATTCATTTATATATATATATTCATATATATATATATATATATATATATATATATATATATATATATATATATATATATATATATATATATATACATACATATATATATATATATAGATAAAGAAAATGTACGTGATTCTTGAAGTAAAACATCTTTCAGCGTGACTATGGGGTAACTGAATGATTTAGGCAACGACAATTCAATGCGCCAAAATATTAGCAAGTTATGTATGTACTTATAATATAATTTCCATTTGTACCTGGCTGGTTTTGGTATCATTAAAAAGTTTAAATTTAAAAAAAGATAATTCAAAATTCCAATTAGGAAAATGTGTGATTTTCATTTGTTTTTTATACTGTTAAGATATGTGATTCTAATGAAGAAATTCGATACATTTTAAAATTTTACTACAAAAAGGTAAAAATGCAACGCAATCCGCGAAAAAAAATTGTGATATTTATGACCTAGTGTAGTGTCTGTGAGAGCAGCACAAATTTGGTTCAAGCGTTTTCAATCCAGAATTTTTGATGTCAAAAATGCACCTCGCTCTGGGCGCCCTGTTACGGATAAAATGGATGCCATTTTTAAAAAAGGGGAGCAAAATCGATCGTTACGATGTAGCAAAAGAACTGGGAATTGATCATAAAACAGTTTTAAATTATTATTGTTGAAATTATTATTAATTAATCATTTAATTTTTTTTATCGTGAGAAGGCGGCAAGTGATTTGGCGGATCACCTGTTTTTAAGTGATAACCGCCGCCTATGGACGTTTGCAACTTGATTTAGGGTTGCAGATGTGTTGCCACCTTTTAATAAAGTGGGCCCGGTCTACCTCACTCACCAGACAAAACGTGGAAGTATAACACTTCCACTTCACGACGGTTTTCTGTGAGGTCATGCTATTTACCCCGAAATGAGATATACATGTACTAGCTGACCAGGCAAACGTTGTTTTGCCATATTAATTATTTGTAGGGTAGAAGAAAATGTTTGGGGTGGACCTTTAACATTTAGGGGGATGAATGATGATGATGAAATAGTAGTTGTCAAATTCTCCACCCTGGCCAATATGCACACAAATTTTCATGAAAATCGGTCGAGCCGTTTCGGAGGAGTTCAATTACAAACACCGTGACACGAGAATTTTATATATTAGATAACCGGATTCTCGGAAACGGCTCCAGCGATTTTCATGAAATTTAGTATGTGCGTAGTTCGAGGGCGAAAAATCGATCTAGCTAGGTTTCATTTTTAGAAAATGTTCTTTTATCCCTGTTTTCAGGGAATGAAAAATATCATTTGAAAAAAAATATTATAATAGCTCGGTCGGTAATCGGGCGGCTCCGAAACAGAAGGCCGCGGTTCGTATCACGATCATTTACACGCTTATATTTTTCACTTTTTTTTCTATACCAGGTCATTGCTTTCTTTATTTTTGATTTTTTTTTTTATTTTTCAAAATACATGTTTTATCAAAACAAAACCCGAGCAAAGCTCCTCCAGGTACTAAATCATAACAGTAGAAATATACTAATACAAAAGAGCTTGAGAATGTACCTGTTTGTGTATGATTATAAAACAAACAATAGACGTAAACGTTTTAGTATAGAAGATAAAAAACAAAACGTTAAACATTGTCTATGACGTGCAATAGCAGAAAGCCGCTTTCACTTGCGCATCCTTTACGAAAATGAAATCACGAAGCTAGTTTGAATGATTTGACCTCTGGCATTGTTTGGCTTGCATGTTTGATTTCTTTTTCTCAGTGACAAATGCTTAAAACTACCCTAAGTAAATAATGAGAATATAGTTGACTCTGACCATAAATTATGACATTACATTGCTTGGATCAGAGACTAGAAAAATTTTGAGAGTTAGTACGGCTCGTAAGACGTCTAACAGGGTTAAATACCTTTTAGGAATGTTACACCCAAGAAAGATGCTTAATGACACGGAACACTTTTTAACAAAATATTTAATTATGTTTTACGCCTCAAAGATTGTAGTAAAATAATATTGTTTTCATACCCATAAATCCTGAACCTGACAAACATGTACTCAACAATAAGCATATTTGAAATGAAGTTGGAAAATATTTTAAACGAAATATGTAAAACAAACTTAATAAAATTTGCTCTTTGAAATGTTCATAATTATTTATGCTGAAAAACATTTGTAACGTCGACAATTGTATTGTGAAATTCAACGCGATTAAATATAAATCCAGTGTTTCTGTGAGAATGAAAAAAATATTCTAAAAAAAATATTTTCTATGTTGAAACATTAAAATACACGGTTTGTTATTTTTATTGCAATACATATAGGGCACCGTTGATATGCACTATAATAATTTATTTAAATAAACTTTATTTAGTAGACGGAAATACTAATGTAACCGATTCTTGTTAACTTATATAAATTAACAAGAATCGGTTATTAGTTTGTCATCCTCAATATATATCAACAAAAACACTAATATCTAGTGATAAGTCATTAAAATTATTAAAAAATATCTGCAGCCAAGGTACAATTCATGCGAATTATTACCGCCGGCATAAGATTTAGTCGCCTCTTGAATTCGTCAATGTATAGACGCGTTCACAGTAAGCAATAAGAGCTTTATTTTTGTGGCACACTTTCGTGAATCGCTGCATTTCTGAGCCGAATCATTATGCAACTCTGTTCTTGCCTGGCAAGATTGTGTTGTTTACGTTAACGATTTTGGCGTATTCTTGTTACAAGGGAAATACATAATTCGGCGAAAAGGTCAAGTTTATATGCATGTAACCTATTAGATTATATAAATTAATGCAGTAAAGTTAGTAATTAAGACAAATCAGTGAAATAGCCGTGATAGTTCAGTATCGCTTGCCTTTAATTCAATTTACTCGAGCAACATGAGCCCGATCCCCGGTGCCAGCACCCATTAAATTTTTAATTTTAAGTGCTGACTTATCACGTGGTCGGCTGTGAAGGAAAACATCGTGAGGAAACTTGCATATTTTCGAAATACTAACAGAAAAAAAATATTTCAAAAATATGTGAAGTCCGCCAATTCGCAGTGGGCTCGCGTGGTTCTTGCTACTATGCTCTTTACAGAGGAGGCCTTTGCCCAGCAGTGGTACATATATAGGCTGTTACTTTTTTATCAGTGAATTAAATATTAAGTAATATACCACTGCAGATCAGGGGTCCTCTCTTGTGGCTTAGTCCCCCCCCCTTGGCGTCATTTTATTAAAATCTAATACATCTCGTGTCACGATGTTTTTAATTGAACTCCTCCGAAACGGCTCGACCGATTTTCGTGAAATTTTCTGTGCATATCGGTCAGGGTGAAGAATCGGACAACATCTATTTTTCAGCCCTCTAAATGTTAAGGGTGGTCCACCCTAAACATTTTTTAATTTATACGGCAAAACAATACTAACCAATAATACTAACTAATACTAGACAATCTTGCTACGTCCATTCCACATATAAAATACTAAGAATTCCAAAAATTCCCGGTTAATTCCCGGTTCCTATATACAACGAACGGCCTTTAGTTATATAGTTAATTATAAAGGAACGCTAGTAACTTACTTTCCGTAAGTCATGCAACGGCTCGTAAGGAAAACGCCTCGTTTTGTTAATATAGGAACCGGGCGTTCACACCTTTTATCTATGTCTTTATGAAAGTTACGAAGCTATGACGACCCGAATGTCGTAGTGGATAGTTTACCTGCCTTCTGCGCCAGAGGGTGTGGGTTCGATCCCCACTACTGGAAAAATATTGTGTAATGAATATAGTGTTTTTATAGTGTCTGGGTGTTTTTTTATATATGTATGATATGTATTTATTTACAAAAGAAAAGTATATTTGTTTATCAGTTTTCTAGTACCCATAGTACAAGCCTTGCTTAGTTTGAGACTAGATAACGTGTAAAAATGTGTCTTAAATATTTATTTATTTATTTATGTAACTAACGGCTGTTCGTTGAATATAGGAACTGGGCATAAGACAAGCGCACTTTTTTATACAGAATCTATCAAAAACTTTCCAGCGAAACAAAATTCCATAATAAAAGAAAAATTCAAATAACTAATAGTAAGGAAGTGATAGTGTCGATTTAGTTGAAGTTCTTGAAATTTGATGAATTTAAATCTTTGTGTGCATTGTTTGTTTTAATTCATCATGCGCTATGGAGATGATTAATGTATTTTGTTGGGGCGACATATAGAAATTTTACGAGGAATTATTTGAGTCGTGTAATTTTATCTTAGGTGAAATACCATGCCATATTATTATGATGATTAATATTAGTATGATTAATTACCTGATCGCTTAAAATGTGTAACTTAGTTGGCAAACACAAAATAACAGATAGTGCTAGACTATCACACTGGGATTATAGCCATGAGAAGTTTTCATAACGTGCGATATCCAACACGTACGTATGCGGCTAGCTAGCAAGTGACGAGGTCGTTCAAAGTTTACTCCCAACAAACAATTGTTTCCGACGATCTCTCGAGTTATATTTGCTATTGAATGTATAACTTCCTTAGTTTCCATCGGCCTCCCCGTTTTGGGGGAAAACTTGTCTTCGCTACATAAGATGATACCACGAATTGGCGAATGCATAAACTCGCGTGTATCTGCTTCCTTTATTGAACAATATCTTGGTTGGACCTTTCTTCACAAAGCAATTACAGAATATGATAAGTTTTAAATAACAGACTTTGGAGTTATAAATATCTAATGCATATGCTTAGTGCATAGGCGTAGTGGGTAGTGTACCTGCCTCCTACGCCCGAGGGTGTGGATTCGATCCCCACTACTGGAAAAATATTGTGTGATGAACATAGTGTTTTTCTAGTGTCTGGGTGTTTATATATGTATTTATTTACGAAAGAAAAATATATTTAAGTATGTTTATCAGTTTTCTAGTACCTAGCGTACATAGTACAAGCGTTGATTAGTTTGGGACTAGAGAATGTTGTATAAAAATGTGTCCTAAAATATTTATTTATTTATTTATTTATATATTGTGATAACCTAACCTTAAGAACTATTTTAATAAGCTTAAAAAGAACAAGTAGTTTCTAATAGTTTAATAACGTTTAAAATATTAACGTATAATTTGTTACTATAATTAGTATCAATAATTGTGTTAGTTAAGAAAACTGTTTTTTTCTTTGCAGTACTTGTTTCATAGAAAAAAATGTAATTTTTAAGGGGTGCGTTGAAGTTTTAAAACACATCGTGATATCCTTTGAATAAATTAACATACTGTTAAAACTTTCGAGCAGTTGTTGAGTGGAAAAGCATTATAAAATGAAGGAAGTGCACAGAGAAATTTATAATTTGCACTCTTCTGTAACATTAATTTGCAAAGGTTATTCCGAAAGACTGGTTTAAATTTTATATTAAGTTATTATGGTGCTTATCTCTGCATTTAAGCTAACACATTAAAATTTATAGAACAATGCAACAAATTTCTTAAACGCTTTAATCGCTAAGGTTTATGATGATACAAGCCACCCGCCCCGGCTTCGCATGGATACAATGTAACATATAAATATATATATTATAACATATAAAACTTCCTCTTGAATCACCTCTATCTAGTAAAAAACAGTAGGTATCTTAGCACTTATTATAAACAAATATTATAATCTTATAAAAGGAAATAATATAAACTTATTGAATTGAAATAAAAAAATCGTAGCATTTTATCGTTAGTACGCTTTAGTACTTAAATATAGTTAAAGTCAATGGTAAGGGAACTTAATTTTAAACGACATTGTTAAGAAATTTATCTACGTTATGTGAAAATTTGCTCGAGTAATAAATAATACCTCGGAACTTTAAATGGGTAAAGCATTTTAGCACGTACTTGCTACTTACAGGTTTTACATCCGAACAAGTTTTACTTATTACTTAGGGGCTTAATAAAATCGATAACTTGAACAGAGGGCGTTCCAAAACGTCAGATGGTTTCCTTTTGCCTGAAATCAGACATAAATGGGTGGAAGTATTTGTTAATGGATGGAATTTCGTGAAAAGAAGAATTATTGTAACAACCTTAATTGCTACCAAAATTAATGTAAAGTAATGCAAGAGATAAGCACTATAAAAGAGTTTAAAATTTAAAGTAATGTAGTCATTTAATACAAAAATTACTACAAAATCTTGCCTAGTGAATGATTGGTTGGATTGGACTCGTGTGAGGTTATATAAAAAGTTATTACGGTGCAAATGAAATGAAGGTTTTTACAAGCGCAAACGTGAAAGGAAAGAGTATAAGCGCCATACAAATTACACGGGAGCAAATAACATCAAGAGGCACGGTGGCGATTATTATACATTTCTTATTTCTTCACTGGTCACTGTTAATGCGGTCATTGGCGTACGGATCCCTTAATTCGGTATTGAATAAAAACAATCAACTCCGGTTGGAGGAGGAAGAAATTAGCGGTCCAGAAACGAACTGGCGACCAACGCATAGCGGATCAGACATCAATTACTCTCTTCATCTCTCTCAGTAGCGAGCAGCTAAATACTGGTTTTGCTTCTGTAACCATTGGAGAGTTGAAACGCAAGTGGCGTTCGGCTTTCATTACTTGCAACGCCCAAATGTCCGCGTACTCATAAATAGGAAACGCATTAAATAATGACCTTAACCGTCCAAGAGATACCTGCCAGAATAGCGTACAGCCGACGAGTCATCCAAGTTTTTCCTTTCAAGTGATCACAGCAAATAAAGTCGTGCGGAGGACGAAAAGAACGAAGTCATGTGACTTACAACTGGTTATGCCATCGGTTGTGTTCGAACAAGCAATTGTCGATTGTATTTAAAAAACAATACAAGTCATGTTTTTTTCGAATATTTAAGTAGCTTGTGACATTGTGACCGCGTTCAAAAAATTTCTCGCGTAATGACGCAATCTGTAGACTGTTAAATTCTTTATCACTGCTGTTGTTATGATTCATATTTAAAACTTCTGGATCCGTTGGGCCCTTCATACTTTCAAAACTTTAAATATTTATAAAAGGACAGGCGATTTTTGACTT